TTATTTACAAAATCCCATTGGGGCGTATCTTTTAAGATAACCAAAGTTATTTTTAGTTTTAGTTACAAATTGTAATCTGCAAGTGTCAGATTGCTAAATAATTTCTTTTAAACTATCTCTATCCTCTCACATATTAAACACCTATTTATATTTACTAAATTCTTTGAGTTACTTCCTACTTCCCCCCCTTTTTTCTTTGGTTCGTCGTTTTCGGTACGCCCTGTTTAACAAACAAACGAATAAAATCGATAGCAAGTAGAAATGATCTAATTCTAATACCAAAACTAACACCGGTTTTCGTTCCCAGTTATTTTGCTTCTAGACTCTGCTCCTACGCTTATGAAAGGACGTACTGTCGTCTGAAAACTATTGGCGATATTGTTTGTGCATTCGTGGCTTTATCTTTGCCTTGAACGTACGGATTTGCATTGGTCGTAGCTCGATAGAAGACTTCACTAAACGAATTTTGTCGTGAAGTTTTCTTGCACTTTTTATGTTCTTTAATGTCTTGATGTTCCAGTTCATAGGCTTCTTGTCCTTAATGTCCTGGTTAGCGGCGAGGTTCAGTTCTTCAGTCGATACGACGTCAAAATCAGTGAAGAGATCATCGAAGGAGATGTTGACTGGGACCGAGAGTTTGGCATCCTCGCCTGCCTCAAACTGATGTTCTACCCTTATAAGGACATATTGATCCATGGTCTCTAGCGTCAAAAAGTGTACATTGGCGGGAAGTTCAGACTTGAGACCGCTGTGCAGTGTATTGTACTGGCTTATCCATTTTTCTGCAGTGGATGGATTGGGKGCAAAAYTRAGCACAGGCTCCAAAAGCATTTGTTCACCAACTTCACGATGTACTGCAGCTGATTTRGCWKGCGGGGCCAAAAATACGCACATCTTTCCACGTACWATCAATCCTTTTCCACTGATTCCAGACTCATTGAGAGGTTCAGCGACACCTCGTTTGTCATCCACAAGAAGACGCCGATGTGGCATGATTTCGACAGAACCATCTTTGATACTAGCACCACCGAGTGAACGATCAACAAGCACAGTAAACTGCTTGCTGCTATCCTTGATGTACATCCTGCTATTGACGGGGTAGTAATTCCCAGCTACTGGTTCTGTGACATTCAGTTTCCACGTTGGTCTAAAGTTCCTCTTTCGTTCTTGCATCTCTCTGCCATTAGCATCGGTATAGAACACTCCGTCAGACTTGATATCTGTATCAAATCGAGATATGATTTCCTTTCCAAGATTGTCTTGTATAGGGATGGGGCCGATCGTATATTCAAACTCCGCATACCGCTGACCAGTATACAGACGTACAACCTGGCTCACAAACGGCGAGAAGACTTGTCTCACTTCTTGTACAAGCGAACCTATCATTACACTAATCTGGGCTTTACTTGATACATTAAATGTATTAGAGGAATTAGGTCTGAATATGTARGCCCCAGAAGGTTGGYCRYTGATTTTGTTCCCTATGCTTGCATTGTACCACAAGAACTGCTGGTTTACAGTGGACGTTAGTTTGGATTCCAAATCCGTCATACTGGACAGTAAACCTGTCTCTTTGGAGAATTCCAACTTGACAAATTCGTTTTGGATCACTACAGGTTCGTCGTTCAAGGGTAAGACTTCTTCTACCTGGGTTTTACGTGCTTTGAAATTCTTCGATATAGATTTCGTTAGGTTCACGAAGTACGTCGAGAAACCCAGCGCGGGAATCTTCACCTGGAACACGAGCTCGTACTTGGAATTGCTGTCGGAAAAGTTTTGTTGTTTGCGCACTGATTTGGTCTCATCTGAGATGGGTAAAACTTGACTTTTCACGGGCTGTCCTTGTGGACCATACACCGCAATAGAACCGGAAGCCATTGGAATGCGCAGATAAGAGGAAATAGTTCGACCCAGGGGATTATAAGCAGTAACTACAAAGTTTTTACTTGTTTCTGTCAGTGGACAGTAGCTGACGTTCAAAAGATCGCACGAGGTRAAGACGGGTGGTTTGGCGCCTTTACTTTTCACTGCGTATTTACCAAGAACGTTGCTCATCAGTGACTGAAATAATAGACAGATAAACAAGTTAAAATCAAATATATTATATGCATAGTTTAGAGTACCTCTCTTCTCTTATTGTTTAAATTTAAGAATATGTGGACCGCGTAGCACCACCGAGGTCGGAAATTAATTTTTCCGAATTTAATTCCAAAGGTCTTTCGCCCGGAATAACCTCGTTCCCAAGCACTATGACTTGTTTAAATTTAATTTAATCTACACTAGGAAATGCTTCTTGATGAACTTGTCTCGCTTTTTTGTTGCCGTACGAAAAAAACCACTTGTGTCCTTTATTTAACCGCAATCATGGTCCTGAATGATTACTTCATGTACATTTCAAGTACACAAACTTTTAACAAGTTTCCGTATTTTATTTATACTAATTTTTCTTCACCTGACAATCTGCAGCTCCAATAGCAAGTCTTTTAGCATAGTCATCAGCAACATGTTGCTTGGAAGTGCCGCTGACTGCATCATGATGTTGGGCCACACCCATCGCTCGACGAAGAAGATCAGATGAGGGTTTTCCTGACTGTGCCTCTCCATTGAACACTTCAAGTTGTTTGCAAGCCTTAGAACAACAATTATGTGAAATATCAGACTTAACTAGGCATGAGACTGACGAACCGGGAGACAATCCCCTACTGTTACACGAATAATCTTTTATGTCCCCCATTTTTTAACAGCTAGTTAAGAAGGGTTGGAAGACAGGGCCAATGGTTTAAAGTCCTTATCCATTTGCAGATGTAATTACAAAGACAGCACCTTTTCCTCAGTTATTTTTAAGACCCTGAGTGTCTGGCCGAGGCTTTAACCATGACCTCCTGCACAACAGACAGAAGCTCTTACCAACTGAGCTAATTTGATGGCACTTTATATCTAAACATATAAACCTCTGCCTAGAGAGACTCTGCAATGACTCCACATTTTCAGTTTCAGTTGAAACAACAGTCTGTGTGACATGAAGATGGATAAAACCAATGTCCTTTTTATTTAACAGGCTATAAATAATGCCTGTCAAGTAATAGTGTCTGGCCAAAATTGGTAATTGTCCAGCAAAATACCTCTTGGTATCAGGTCCTCCTGACTGGTCACAGTGACAAGGCACATGTTGATCAGTCCAAATATGTGGCAGAATCATTATTTTCCGCCTTGTTTATACGCAATACCAGTAATTTTTTTTCCAAAATAGATTAAAAAAGGAAGTGATATCATAAGATAGACAAATGAACCAAGAAAGAACAAAATATGTTATACCTGGAGTAAGTTATTATTGTATCGGACATATCTCTTGAGTGCTGGCCTGCTGGTGAAGTACCCTGTCCAATAACAGTGGGGGCAGTCGGCATAAGGAAGGAAATCATCTGTCTTTAGGCCCCATGTTTGGTTACTGTTGTGTAAAGCTTCCAAGTAGGTTGTTGGCGTTGAGTAAAATACATTTACTCTACTGTCCTATAAAAATAAAGATAAACAATAAATATATCAAAAGGCAGTAATAAATTATTGCATGATGGTGTCATTTTACTACAAATACACAAATACTTTGCAAATTTTCTTTCTTATTCTTATAAATTTTTTCTTATTCAAGATTCAAGATGATTTTATTAATGCCAGTAATATTACAGAATTTGATTTAAAATTTCATGAGAATAATAAGACAATTGATGCTAATCAACTGAACAAAAGTGTGCAAGGAATTCTGGTAGTAGTAGTAAATGATGCCATCAAGCAAATGGCCTATCATAATACAAAAATATTAATGGGAAATCACACAAAAAATTCCCAAGAGGTCAATAAAAAAGGAAGTACCAGTTACTATAAATTAAACCTTTGATTTGAAAATGTTGTAGAAAAATTATAGGTTTTTTGAAAACAAAATTTTTTAAATGCTCAGTTAGAAAAAAATGTAATGTGATTCTTAGAGTTAATGACTCTTGTTGTTTATGCTAAACACAGCAGGAAATACTTTGACAAGGAACTCTCTTGCTCTAGTGCTTCTTAGCTCAGTTGAAAAATTCTGTGTCACAACAGCAAATTCATAGAGTTAATAAATCCTATGGTCGAGCTGAGAAACATTGGAGCAAGAGCCTTTGGAACTTAATCCAGCGTACAAGTTGTTTCAAGATGTGTATGCTTTCATGTAGTTAAGATACCATAAGCCCTTTATTGAAGAGGAACATAATATCTTGAAGTATACATTACAAATATGCATCAATATATTGTAACACAAGTAACTTGTCAAGAATTGGAAATACAGTGAATTAAAAAAAGGAAGTTTTGAAAACCAAAATAATTGTGACTAAATTGCATTTTCAGCCTAATTAATTAAAAAAAAAAATTGTACTCATTTATTACTGACAGATTAGTAGGTTTAATCTAGCCAAGCCAAGAAACACTGAAGGGAAAGAGCCACTGCAGCCCAGGCTATGAGTAACTTGCAAATACAATGACTTACCTGATTGACATATTTCATCAACTTGTCAAGATTTTTGAACCATAAATTTGCATTCTCGTACATGAAATCTGAACCCATTGTAAGCATGATGTTGTTGGTCTTGTAGTGTTTGGCTTGATCACAGACAGTTTGGACAAATGCTTCTGTCCTCTCTTTCACGTTCATGTCTTCTAAAGTTGGATCATCCATGATTGGCTGGTCTGCACAGAACTGATCAAAACAAAACCCGGATGGAGGCATGTACAAGTTGTATAAAACACCCGTAAATATATCGGAGTTTTTGCCGAGATTTCCGGTCTTACTCCCACGCCAGACCATCTCCATCCTCTGTTGTTTCAGTCTCAAGTCTTTATCAGTGAAATCTATGCGTCCGAAGAAAAATCCATCAAACGACATCTGAGAGAAGAGCGATGCTTGTTCATTGGAGTGACCAAATGGATCAATATGCCAAGCAATCCTCGGTCTCGCGTCGTCCCCAAAAGTATCCTTAATAAACTTTAATCCCAGAGTCATTTGATCAATTATAGCATTATAATGAGTGGATGCTTCGTCGTTCATACACCATCCTCCGTTAATGAACTCAAGTCGTTTGTGCAATACCAACTTCTTGACTTTCTCTTTCATGGCCGCATCTTGCTGATCCCACCAACGTTTAAAAAATGCTATCTCTACGTAGACGAACCTTCTATTCGGGTCGGCATCTAGTGCTGGGATAACAGAGTCTAGGATATACTGTACCCCAGCATGTTGGATAGAATTATTCGCACCATAGTAGTACTGATCAACTGTCTTCAACCATCCCACATCGTCATGTGTGTGGGCAATGATATGAACTTGAAGTTTTTGAGGGCTATTTACGACTCCTTTCTTGGCGCATTCAAACGCTGACGAGCCAAGGAAAAGACTGAAGAGTACAGTTCCGTAGAAATAAAGAAAAACGCTAGCAAAAGCCATGTTTTCCTCGCCAACTTTGCAGACAAGTCACACTAAAGTCACGAGTATCATCACAAGAATTAGAATCTCGTCAGGCGTTCTTTCTTGTCATCTACTCACCCCAGGCTCCATTCCATCGATTCTCGACGCGGAACTTCAAGAACACCACTTGTTTTCGCTCCCTCGTCGTGGGTCGCTACTTATGAATGAAAACACACGATTTTCCTTCTCTAGAATATCTTTAATTCTTGTACTAATTCCTCAATATCT